GGGATCTGCATTTTCAGTTGACTACATCTGTGGATCTACTGGGTTTCACTGAAGCTATCCTTTGTTTATCCTTTTACTCATCATATGCTGTTTTCATTGTCGAGGCATATGACAGGCTTTTAAATAAGCTTGAGTAAAAGTGCATCCCATACACATACTCATATGACAATGGGTATTCGAGTGCATGGCCCATGCTGGTACTGTAAAATCATAATGCAGACAATGGCCAGCACACCATGACGTTCAGTACGCATAAATGTATGTTGTACATTAGACATGTGCACTGCCAAAAAATTCGTTTCGTTTCGTTTTACATTCGGATTTGTGTTATTTCGTTTTTCGGGATTCGGGTGTGAAAGTCAATTCGGATTCGGAATTCGGATTCGGACGAAATTCAGGTAGCGTTCGCACGAACGTTCGTTTCGTTTTCTGTTCTTATTCGTTTCGTTCGTTTGCAGCAAAAGTGACATTTGAGGGGGAAAAAATATTTTTCTCCTCTAATGTCACTTTGCTCCAACGAACGAAACGAATAAGAAACGAATAAGAACAGAAAACGAAACGAACGTTCGTGCGAACGCTACCGAATTTCGGAAATGGAAATTCGGATTCGTTTGCATTCGTTATGTCTGTAATTGGATACATCCGAATTTACGAAAATCCGTCCGAATTTCGATTCGGAACGAAACGAATCGCACATGTCTATTGTACATACAAACAAAACTGATGTGATGCTATGGGGACATGAAGGTCCCCTCTATCAAGGCTACACATAGGGACTTTGATGTCACCTTGATATAGAAGACTAGTGTATCCCCGAAATGCCATGCTGATTCTGTTTGCTTGTATGACATGCTTATTTAAGTAAAGGAGTTTGCTTTGTTTTGGTCTTTGTGTGCATATAGGTTTTTAAACAACATACCATACTCTTTTCTATGATTTGGCTTTTTTAAATGTTTGATACACATAGGTAAATAGGGTGACATGCATGATTAACAACAATTACCAAAATGTACTGTATAACATGAGTTACAGTGGAATGCCAGTTTTTCTTTTTACATAACATGTGTTCATATTTTTCAGAGAAAATCAGTTGCTTTTTAAGCAACAGTAACTATAATGAGAAGCCAGAGGCGAAATGGGTTATTGTGGATTCTGTGTATGTTTGGTAACAGGATGTCCTATTCCATAAATCAATATGCAAAAAAATAATTTGCTCATTGGTTCTATTTCTTTGAATCCGTAACAGAATAATGTGTGAAATTACAGAGTTTTAAGGTCCAGGTATATGACAATGAAATTACATCCATCACTTTGTATTGCATAACCATGGAGGTATTCACCATACTGTTATGCAATAGGAACAAATGAGTTAAAATAATCACATAACAGCTACCTGTAAATAGATGCAAATGGATGGACTGGAACATTTTGTCTGAATCTCCATTGTTTGTCTGGTAGGACTAGCTAGCCAAGATTACTAATAGGATTTATACTATACATATATAGGAGACCATTCCTACATATGCGTTCCAGCTGCGTATTTAACCGTTTGCCTGGAGTTTTTCATTCAGGATCCTTTTTGACAGAATAATTTGTATGGTAATCCTATTAACTGATAGCTGATATTTCTTCTTTTGTCTGGCGAAAACAGAAGAGGCAGACCCGGCGTTACTGTAAGGCAGCTCAAGCGGCCGCCTGAGGGCGCCAGAGGGAGGGGGCGGAAAAATCCTGGCACAGGCTCTGCAGACAAACATACAGTGGATGTAATCATGTAGTTGAGCGGACGGGGTTCCGGACTTTTGCTGTAATGATCTCAGCTCCGCCCCCTGTGCCGACTTCGGTGCCGCTCCTCCCACACTGTGTCTCCAGCTGCCCCCCTGCCATGTACCTTATGTGGAGCCTCACACTACCTCCTCAGGGCCACTCTCTGCACTGTGGGAGGAGCAGTTCTCACCTCTCTCCTCAGTGCCTCCTGGTCCCGAGCTGCAGCTACTAGTGTGTGTGTGTCTGTTTGTCTGTGTGTGTCAGTGTGTTTGTGTATGTGTGTGTCATTGTGTGTGTCACTGTGTTAGTGTGTGTGTGTGTGTGTCTGTCACTGTGTTAGTGTGTGTGTGTGTGTCTATGAGCTTGTAAGCTTCTTCAAGTCCTAGTGCCCAATTCCTATGTTTCTGTGTCCTGTGCATTGTGTGAGGTGTTCTATATCACTGATAGATATACTGTATATTGTATATAATAATCCAGGTCAATAAAAGAGAAATAAGTTTTCTGTGGAAGGTTTCTACACGGTCAGTACACAATTCGCACACATCACCACCCTCTCAAATGGTGGATTTCTGGCACCTAATCCTGTCCACATACATTTTATTTAGAAATAATAACACTTTGTAATTAAACACACACTGTATCCTCCATTTCTATATTTACTATACGCACACATTCCTAAGTTATTATTATTATTTCTAAAAACAAAAATACACTGCACTATCTCCCCTCAACATTTAGCCCTTATCCCCAAACCCTAAGCAACAAATAGTCGGTAATCAGTATATGAAAAAGAACACTAAATATATCAACACAATGCAAACAAATTAATAAAATATTGTTATATCAAAGTTAGATGTGAATATAACAATCTTCTAAATGTGAAAAATGTGTAACTATATCACAATCCAATCAGTACTGGAGCCAAGAGAAACTCCCTAATTAAATTCTCTAACTCGTGTTTATGGCAAATAGTGAGCCAGAAAAGTGCACCGCCTTAACTCCCCTCAACATTCACTGATTATTTGTTGTTTATGGTTTGGGGATAAGGACTAAATGTTGAGGGGAGATAGCGCGGCGTATTTTTGTTTTTAGTTATTTTGACCAAATCGTTTAGTTTTTTCACTGGGGCTGTCATTTTTGGGTTAAAAGGGAAAGAGACCCATACGCGCAAATATTTACTGTTTAACAATATTATTTACCCTCTTAAAAAAAAAAGAAGCCAATGTGACCATTTGGGCATCATAATGTCACAGGATGTTTCATACCCGCTAAACCAGGTTCCAAGAGAATACGTTCTCAGCGTTCACACCATCCAGTGCGTTCATCTGACATTCTCATGGCATGAACACACTGAACCACTTCTCCCACGTTCTGGGGTGGGAGGGGTTGTGGCTGTGCCCTTCATTTCAGTGGCACCACAAGCACACCTCCCTCCCGCAGTGTGATCACCTGCACTGGAACACATGGTACCGCAATCAGAGCCGGCGCTACCCTACAGGCAGGTCAAGCAGCTGCCTGAGGGCACTGGTGGTTGTGGTGGGGGGCGGAAAGATGCGGACTGGGAGGGGGGCCCCTTTAAGACGTCCACGGCGGCGATCACACCTCTCTGCGCTCCCTCTCTCTCCTCTCGGCCGCTGCAGCTTCAGAGCGGCCAGGAAGAGAGAGAGGGAGCGCTGACAGGTGTGATCAGAGCTGCCTCTCAACGCTGGTATGAAGAGCCGGATTTGCCACCAGTGAGCAGAGGAGTGGCACGTATCCTTTTGATGAAGTGAGGGACATTAGATAAAAAAGTTTTAAAAAAACAAAAAATTAGAGGTGCACCAAAATGAAAATGTCAAACCCAAAACAAAACCGAAATGAGACACTCAGCTGTGTACAGCTAGACCCAAAATAAAATGTCAGGCCAAAACCCCAAAAAAAAATTTCTAACCTTTTCCAAACATTTTTTGAAGCAGCCGTATGAGGGCGCGCTGGGGGTGCCCAAAAATGCCCCTTCGCCTGTGTAGGCAAAAATCCTTGCACTGGCCCTGAGAAAAGGGATTATTGGAACCAAACTGGTGCATTTTTAAACCATGTTTCAAATAGAAGAAGTAGAGAAAATAAAAACTCTTATAATTATACTTTCCACAAAGACGACCATACATTCTGGACAGTGGTGATTCATTAGAAAACCATCCATAGATCTTCTTTTAACCAAAGAGATGACATCATTTTACAATCCAAATTAATGGAAACCAGTCATGATAACTTAAACTTGTCACAGCCAGAAGAGGTACTAGTTCTGTGGCAGAGCAGATCTCTTTAGCAATGTGCCTGCCTCGGAACTAGCACTTCTTCCAGAAATCGATCAATGGCACAGGAGCCTCAGAGTCAGCTATGACAGGTGACAACCAAGATAAGACGGAACCTTGTAAGAATGACAAGAATTTTTGTCTCTTGTTGATGCCAATTAGAGTTTCTGCTGTACTCATTGTTCTGCTGTCCATTTATCATCTTAGCACATCAAATACCAACCGTAAAATACTTAGCTTAAACTTCAATTCTATTTGAAAGGATCGGCCCCTCCCAAAAAAAAGATTTTTGAGTTATTGATGGATTCTGAATGAATCATCATCCAGTTTCTTATATATTGCAAGGACTTCATCTGTAAGATTCTTCCCTTCCCCCACTAGAGTACCTGGCGCAAGTGGGTTAACAATATCTCTTACTCTGAACAGTTAAGAGATTTGACAGGCGGTAGGCGTAAAATGGTTTCCTTTCAGTTAAAGAAAAAGTTGATCATTTTGCCAAAGCCCCGAAAAGAGTCACAGCTGAGTTGACACGAAGCTCTGCAATTATTTCCCAGATCATCTCAGTATGAGCTCCCCAAGTGCACAGCTCAATTATTTATTTCCATGACACTTGTATAGTAATTGTGTTATTGTTCCCTTTTGCCACGACAGCTCGGCGTGACGATGACACTTAAATGCCTTTGCTTTTTAAACAGTACCAAACACGATTATATACAAATACAGCAAAAACATTGGCCAGAATAAAAGCGATGGGATCTACGCGTATTTCAGATGCAAAATATTTGTACACTGATTGGTAAATGAATTCCATAATGAAAGTCTCCTTAACAACACTGTTCTAGAATGCATTCTATACCCACACCCTATTTCTTAGCTCTCAGCAGCTAACCTTGCCTTGATTTAAGCACAATGAAATATTAAGATGGCATCTGACAATTGCCTTACCTGATGTATCTTAAAGGTTCTTGTTCATCCTTGGTTTGAAACCCTGAGTTGCTCATTTTCCTGCCTTGTGGCTACCTCAGTGTTTTTCTGGGTCTAGCTGTACACAGCTGAGTGTCTCTGTGTGGCTGTGTGCGAGGAGACAAACCAGCCAGTCAGCAGCCAGCGTCAGTGTATGAATTCCATCGGATTGGATCTTCTTTGCAGGTACCCAGTCTTCATTATTTAACCCTTCGGAAAAAAATAATAATTCACAGACTGTTTGATGCCTCCTGCAGTAAACCTCTAGCTGTTTAATAGGAATCTGTGGTGTGCTACAGCTGGTCATGGACAAATTGGATTAATGAATCGCACAGAACCTAACAGATGGATTATTAACTTTTGGAGCCGGAATGTGTCGTTTGGCACTGTGCAGAGTAATGGCAACATACTGGGTCCTCTTTTATATTCATAAATGTAGTGGACAGTTAGACATAAGATGATGTAAATGGGAACCCCGCTTACAGGATATTTGGACAAATCATGCTTTTATTTGCCATGGGAGCATAGATGGAGAGGGTAATCAGTTCCACGCTTACTAAATCCTCACTTAGTGGATAATAGTGATGTGTGGGGGGTCAGTGTGAACCCAGTTCATTTGAGTTGGCTCTGGCCCATGCAAAACTGTGATTGGCACCTCCTCTCCCATCCATATCAGTTGCAGCAATTGTGGCACCAGGATTCCCTGCCTCTTAGTGACGTGTAGCTGCGGGGCAGGGAATGCCCCTGGGGAGGGGGGTGTCAGTCACAGTTTTGCGCAGACTTGGGCAAGCTTAGGCAAATTGGGTTTGCATCAATAGTGGACAGCTAAATACACAGTTGAAATACACATATATTAATTGTTTTATATGACAAAGGATCTGAAGAGCTGTCTAGCCACTTCATACACCACTGCCAGACAGCACAGCCAGGAGAGTGACACCAGTTTCTCTGACAAAGTGACCCTGTCATCAACCTGAAAAAAATTGCAGGCAAAAGCACAGAGAATTCACTTTAATGCTTTAAATGACTGACTTGCAATCTGGGGAAGGGTGTTAACAGCACAGACCAGCAATGTGGGAAAGGGTGCTAACAGCACTGACCAACAAAGGGAGGAAGTGTGTTAACAGCACAGACCGATGTGGGGAAGGGTGTTAACAGCACTGACCAGCAATGTGGGGGGAGGGGGTTAAAAACACTGAACAGGAATGGGGGATGGCAGTTTAAGAGCATTACCAGCAAAGCAAGATGGGGATGGAAGTTAACAGCACAGCCACTGTCTGGCAATGCAAGGTGGAGTTACCAGCACTGCCACTGACCACCAGTGATGGGTGTGGTTAACTGACACTAACACCTGTGCTGGGGTTTTTTATTGGCGCCACTGATATCTATGGTCAGGGTTATTATTGTGGCCACTGACACCAATGCTGGGGGGTTATTATTGTGGCCACTGACACCAATGCTGGGGGTTATTATTGGGGCCACTGATAACAATGCTTGGGGTGCTAGGGGTTATTATTGCTATCCCTGACACCTGTGCTAGGGGTTATTATTGTTGTCACTGACACCTGTGCTAGAGGTTATTATTGCTGTCACTGACACCTGTGCTAGGGGTTAATATTGTGGTCAATGCTGGGACCTGGGGTTATTATTACTGAGACCATTGCTGGTGGTTATAATTGCTGCAAGTTACACTAGTGCTGAGAGTTATTATTGCTGTCATTTATATCAATGTTCGGGGGTTATTATTGCTGCCACTGACACCAATGCTGGGGGTTATTTTTGCTCCCACGGACACCAGTGTTGGTGGGTTATTATTTCTGCCACTGATACCACTGCTGGGGGTTATTGTGGCTACTGAAACCAATCATGTAGGTTATTATTGCTGCCACTGTCACCAATGCTGAGGGATATTTTTGCTGCCACTGACACTAATCCTGGGGGTTATTATTGCTGTCATTGACAACAGTGTCGAGGGGTTATTATTACTGTCAGTGACACCAATAGGGTTGGGCTCGATGTTCGAGCCAAGTGTGAGTTCGACTCGAACATCGGCAAACACCCGATTGGCTAAAGCCTTGCACCTGACCACAGAGAATTCATGATGACGTTGCCCACCTGTATCATGGCTCACCTGTACTACAATAAACAGTTTAGTGGAGCTATTAACAGGACAGGTTCCACTCAGAACAGGCCTCGCCATGGTCGACCAAAGAAGTTGAGTGCACGTGCTCAGCGTCATATCCAGAGGTTGTCTTTGAGAAATAGACGTATGAGTGCTGCCAGCATTGCTGCAGCGGTTGAAGGTGTGACGGGTCAGCCTGTCAGTGCTCAGCCCATACACCGCACACTGCATCAAATTGGTCTGCATGGCTGTCGTTCCAGAAGGAAGCCTCTTCTAAAGATGATGCACAAGAAAGCACGCAAACAGTTTGTTGAAGACAAGCGGACTAAGGACATGGATTACTGGAACCATGTCCTGTGGTCTGATGAGACCAAGATAAACTTATTTGGTTCAGATGGTGTCAAGAGTGTGTGGCGGCAACCAGGTGAGGAGTACAAAGACAAGTGTGTCTTGCCTACAGTCAAGCATGGTGGTGGGAGTGTCATGGTCTGGGGCTGCATGAGTGCTGCTGGCACTGGGGAGCTACAGTTCATTGAGGGAACCATGAATGCCAACATGTACTGTGACATACTGACATACTGAAGCAGAGCATGATCCCCTCCCTTCGGAGACTGGGCCGCAGGGCCGTATTACAGCATGATAACGACCCCAAACACACCTCCAAGATGACCACTGCCTTGCTAAAGAAGCTGAGGGTAAAGGTGATGGACTGGCCAAGCATGTCTCCAGACCTTAACCCTACTGAGCATCTGTGGGGCATCCTCAAACAGAAGGTGGAGGAGCGCAAGGTCTCTAACATCCACCAGCTCCGTGATGTCGTCATGGAGGAGTGGAAGAGGACTCCATTGGCAACCTGTGAAGCTCTGGTGAACTCCATGCTGGTTAAGGCAGTGCTGGAAAATAATGTTAATAATATATATATATATACACACACACACACCGATCAGCCATACTATGGCCACTGAGAAGTTAGGTAAATAACATTGCTTATCTTATTACAATGGCACCTGTAAGTGGGTGGGATATATTAGGCAGCAAGCAGTGGTTTATTTTGGTTTTGTGCTGCCCTAGGCAAGGCTAAACACAGGCAACCCATTAATCTAAATTTGCCCCACCTCTTCCTGTTTAAGACCTTTTGCATAACCTGTCAGTCGCTGGATACAGCGCACATACTGTATCCAGCTTCTGACAGGTTGCGCTATTAGTAATGCAGAATACCATCGCCGGACCACATATCCCAGCAATACATTATACAACAATGCAGAATAATAAGAAGCTACAGACTCTGCTACATACTCCGGGGTGGCGGCCTGATGTCTCCACAGTCTCAGATGGGCTGTGCGGGCTCTCAGGTGGGCTATATACTGTAAATAACACAGTACTGCACCGTGAATATACTAAAAGAAGTGTATCCCCAGCGAGTACGTGGTCATATATTAATCCTTATGCTATAAGAACATACTGTATTTATGTAAACAAAAACTCAATAAATAATTAGAGATATGAATAATATATTTGTTCAAAATAGTGCTTCAATCAATAAAACCCATTAGTGCTCTGGTGTGTTCTTTTTTCTAAAAAGACATAAATGTAATGGAGTTTTGCGTGGAATGTGTCAGATTTGGCTTTTTTTTTCCCTCCACTTTTATGTATCATACCAATACAAACAAAAGAAATAAACATGAGAATGCCTAAACATATGTCATTGCAACCATTTTCTTTGCAAAGTGGTGCATTATCTGACAGAAATGCAGGGGTGCCGATATTTTTGGCCATGACTGTAAATGTATACTATCGGTTCAGTTTTAATAGGAACATTCTACATGCTCCAGAAATACACCTGAAACACATGAATTTACTGCAAGCGCAACACATCTGGTGTGAATGTAGTCTTACAGAACATCCCCTTGAGGAGGTACAGTACATAAACAAACGTCACATTCTAAATGTATGCTATTTCTTTTGTTGTCAGTGATGTCTGACTGGCAGCCCTCCTATGCCACCTGTGCAACCCTGATTATGGGTGTAAATGTTTTTTTTCTTCCCTTCCTTTCTGCACATAGATATGACAATGGAAAAAAAAAAGCTCCTAGCAGTGCTGTTTTGCACGTTCAGTATGACTGGACATTTTTTGGCTGTTTTGTTGCTGTCTTATGGTTCACTGGTCACAGAGCTGAGCTAACAGTATAAGCAGTTTACAGTAATTAACAGAAAGTCTTCAAGAAAGCAAGTTCACCTGGGGAGTGTGCATGTTGAAGTGTGGGGTGGCAAAGGTGAACTGAACTGCTTGGCACCCATCCAGCACTAATAGCCTGAATACAAGCGGCATCTTCGCTATTGAACAGGCCAAAAGCTCAACTTCACTACCACTAGTGCAGCATATGACTAATAAAACTGTGGGGACAGTCGAGATTGTACCACCTCTTGTCACAATCCAGCAGGCAGTATTCTATTGGATCTCAACTGCGGAACTAACACTCTAGGTGTAAGGGTTCGGTCAGTCATGCGGAACCCCAATACACCCAGTGCGATGGGGTTCCGTTCCACATCATGTACCCGTCCTAGAGTGTTACATGGATATGACCAATGAGGGTCTCAGGTATAAGTCTAGGTATTGTGAGTATACTATCAGCCTCAAGTGGAGGCGTGTGGTGGGTTGTAGTTTTCCACTGCAGGAATCAATTAGGGAAGCGTTTCCTATCACTCCTTTCCAATTCACAATGACCCTGGTGTGGCAGAAATAATAACATGCATTCACTAACTCCCTGGGAGGTTATAATGCGGTGGATTAGCTAAGGTTATCTCCAGCAGAGCAAGGTTATGCAATCTGTAGTAATCTGCAATCAGGTATGTTCAGTTGGTATCAATGCACACAGTTCATGGCTAGCATATACATCTGATATGGTTTGAAGTGGCTACCAATAGGTGGGGGAAGATCCCCTTGTACTTGCGGTTCAGGAGTGGAGAGAGTTCAGGTGAAACAGGAGGTATTCCTGTGTAGCAATGTGAGCCGCAGTAGCTGAGTCCCCCCGACAGGGAGGCTGAACCCCTCACTTAAGGCTGTGGATGGTCTGTGGCTCTGTTTCCCACAGAGTCAGTCGCTCGACGTTCCACAATGATTGAACACCGAGTGACTGACTCAGCTGTGTTTAAGAGAGTGAGGAGGC